TTGTAGGTTTCGGCGGCCTTGGTGTCAACGTCATGTAGCAGACTGGCAGCATTGTTTGCCAATCGCATGTTTATAGATTTCACTACATTATACAAACCGCATGATTGTAGATCAGGTACAAGGTTTTCCTAAATAAAAAAAAAGGTTATGTGTGGCACAGATAACTTTAAACATGAAATTCTTACCTCCCCGCCCTTGCAAAAGTAATCGTCACATGCACTGTGGTCCCCAAATATATGTTTTGGGCCATTTAAAATATCCCCTTTCAATGAATTTGTTTTCTCATCAAATGGTTTATTTTCGTTTTTCCTGTGTTCAATAGCTTTAGTCACCGCATTCCGGAAGCGACCCAATGTGTCGCTATTAGTAACCTTCTTTCGTAGTGCTATTGGAAAATTCGAATCTTTTGAAATTTCTGAGATTTTGTTCAAATAATTTCGAAGTAGATGGTTACGGCATTCAATTTTTTGTATTACAAATGTCGGTCCATATGGTGCTGCTTCTGTCAACTTTCTATAAACGCTACTATCACCGTCGCCTATCACTCTCCCATATATCAAATTGTGCGTTTTTACAGACTTTTTAAAACCTTCCACAATAATGTCAGCTTCCATTGATGTAGAAGTTCCATGCCAATTTTGGAAGCAATCATGATCTTTTAAAACTGTTGCTCTTGCGCATACGTAACAGTACTTATTCCGAACTCCAATGTACAAAAGTTTTTTTGTCTTTGCTCCTATAATACATGCCTAAAATACAGAAAGTTCTAGAATATATTGTTAATTGCGTTTACAGATACACTTACAACTCCAGATAAAGCATTATAGTTTGTTCGGTATGAGCGCTTGCTCCAAGCTCCATCAACTATAACGGATATAATCGGTATTCCTTTACTATTTACTTCACCGGAAGTTTTCGCCAACAAAGCCTCTTCTTTTCCAGCGTTTACCATAAGTTCCTCATTTTTGGTTTGTATAACCGAAAACAACTGGTTGTGATGTTTGCTGTACGTTGTGTGTGACATATTAGGGACATCCAATGATGCAAGAATTTCAGAAAGTTGCGAATAACCGATACCAGCACTTATACAACCAATTGCAGCCATCAAGTTTACGTTTACATTATTATCTGGATCTTCGGTCCTTATATTTTGAATAATATTACATACTTCACATTTAAAGGAGAAAACGCTATGTAAACCCTCAATTTTTTCAGAAACAAGGTTTAAGTCAAAAAACGAACAGTTAAAACCTGAAACGTAATAAATAAATCGATCAATCGCCTAATCAATTTTTTTAAATGTAGGTACATACCTTCATGCTTCAAAGATTTCAATTGACTGAAAAGGTATGAAATGTTCACAATTCGTCTACCGCTTGTTTTGAACAAACTACTATTGGCTGTGGCTTTTTCGTAGCAAAGTTCCTCAAGGTCCGTATCTTCACTTATGTCCATATCGCTTTGCTCATAAACCAAGGACCTATCTTCTGAATCATCTCCAGAAATCTCGTTATCTGAGCAGTCTCTAACACTTCCTGCGTTTGAAATATCGGAATCAATATAACAGGAGGATTTGGAATTGATAAATTCATCCATCATTTGTTCTCTGCAGTCAGTATGGTTAGACACTACCAATTGCCCTTCAAAATCGAGAATGGTTTCAGTCGAAATTTGGTTTTCATTTGTACCAACGCTTTGGAGTTTCGGAACATTTTGCGAATTTTTTCCGATAGCCTTCCCCCTCCTGAGGAGAATAACAGAGTAAATATTTACATCATATAAAAAAATAACTGTTAGACTTACATTAAAGCTATCTTTTTCATGCGTAGCTTTTTGCTTTTCCTTGGTTGAGATAAATAGAGTTTGCTCTTTGCCATTGCTAAAAAATGCCAGTCACGATGTTTTTTATGCTAAAAATGCGTAGATAATGTGTAATGAAATTGAAACTAAAAATATTGTGCTTACCTATACAGGGTGTTACACGACCGTTCGAAAAAAAAAAATCGGGTTGTAGAGGGCATCAAAACAAGCACTTTTTCCAAATAAACCGAGGGTCCAACGTGTTTCGTTTGGGAGCCACCCCCCAAAGAGTGTTGAAATCTGCATTTCTTCTTTAATTTTTTTCTCAGCAACCATAAGAGTTACAAAGTCGGGTGGCATGTCTTTGAATAGGTTTTTGGGTATGCTCTTTCCGATTTTGCAATTTTTTTTTCAAAATTCCTACCCCTAAAGGGCGCACCCCTAAACTAGGGTGCAAAAAAAAATTCTGATTTCGACGAAATTTGGTATCTGGGGTTTTTTTAACATGAAAATCACGAATCTGAAATTAGTTTTTGAAAATTCGAAAAAAAAGTTCCACTGCAATTCTTGGCGGGACAACGAAAATAGAGATAATTCCACGAAATTTGTTGTGTACATACTAAACGAGTTAAGGAACAAAACTGTCGAACAGTTTTTTAAAATAACTTTTCAAACAAAAGTTATACTCATTTGAATGTTGGTCCTTCGGGTCGCGAAGTGTCCCAAGCCTACTAGTAAGCCATAATTTCGCATGTGTTGGTTGACAATGTCGCAAAAACAAAAGATTAACGGTTTGAGTCGATATTTTGTTATTTGGAATTAATTCGGTCATTAAATGATTAAAAAATTCGATGTATCGATTAAAACACCTACCAAGGTATCTTAAAGCGCTGATCGATTATTTATTATCTAAATAAGGTAGGGGAAAAAGTCAAATCACTTTCCGTATGATACTTTTTCACTATGATCAAAAATTTTCATAATCTTAGGTTGAAAAATAACTTCCAAAAGAACACGCTCCTTTTAAGGACAAATTTCCCCTACCATTAGCAATGCATTTTCCCAATTTAGTTTTAGAGAAAGATTTACAAAAACTTGATAATGAATGGAGATTATTGAAAAATTCAAAAATTAGTTATGACGACCAATCAGTCTTATCTCTTTGGTTAAACGTACAGGCTGAAAAATATGCGGATGGTACACTCGTATATCCTTTGCTCGCAAAGTTTGCATTTAATATACTTAGCCTGCCCCATTCTTCGGCAAATGCGGAAAGAACGTTTTCGCAAATTAATTTGCTTAAAACAAAACAAAGAAACTACTTTCGACTAGTTTTTGTGGGTATTATGCACGCAAAACATTACACAGGAGATGAATGCTTTAACATCAATATTGACAATAATTTGCTGTCGTATCATAATAGCAACATGTATAAGGCTATTAACGATTTTTCAGAATCAGATTAATTTAACAGTATTGTACATTATCTGTAATCTTAAATGATAAAATAAATTATTAAAAGCAAGCAAATTTAATTAATTTAATTATCAATCCATGATATAGATTTTTTTTAGAGCCAACATACCCCAATTTCTCTTAAAACGGTGCTTATAAAAAATCTACCGTCAAATTTTTATATATACCGCTTTTTCAGCTATGAAACTACCGCAAGGAAAATTTCGAATCTGGCAAAACTGCTCAACATCCTCTACCTGTGAGCACAAAACATTTTTAATCATTCCCTTTACCGTTCTCATTTCGCCATGTCATATACTCCTAGTATTATATTGACCAAGGATAAAAACATCTTAAAGCCCAAATTCAATCCACCCAGATTTGCCAATCTAGTGCAGCGGAACAACACGGGTACCTTTGCAAGGCCAATGGCAAGTACCAGTACGCCAACGTCACCCATTCGACATTTCATCTTTAATAAAGAAGAATTCATTTCATTCGATTATCATCATTTGTTATTTTTTAATCTCTAATTGTATCACTTATTGTTGTATTTAATTATTTATCGTGTGTCAACTTCTTGTATTTTTTTCTTGCTAAATATTTTTTTATTTGTGAGGTTATATTTTCGTCAAATTTCAAACCTTAGAGAAGGAACGTCCGTTTATGGTCTGTGGGAAAGTCTAAAGTTCGTTCACCCAACAGAAATAGTTAAGCCCCTCCTCAACAATTACCGCCACATTTGAATACGACATTGTTATTGGTGTAATTTTTGAAGCCACAATCACACTTGTAAAGCGAATTGGCCGAATTGGGTAATCTGTCATCTGTCATCTTGCCTATTGCGTTTCTGTCGGTTTTTACGTTTTTACATCTTTACTTGCGTCAATTTGCCATTAATCTCCTTTATTCACACAAAATAGTCTTTATAAAGACTAGTCGGTGTATTCTAAAGATAGTCAGGTGAGTAATTATAAAATTTTATACACGATTTTTACATGCCTGTTTTTAGGGTTATATTATTCGCGATCAAGAAAAGTTATACGCAAACATGAATGTCGCCGGTGCTGCTTTCTCTCCACCGAAAAAACGTTCTGCCAAGCACTTTTCAGTTGAAGACAAAACTGGCATTTTAAATATCTTCAAGGCATATTCGGAAGACAACCCGGAGGTATCTAAAAGGATAAAGTTGAGTTTACGGCTAAAGCAGCAGGTAATTTTCATCTTAGGCACATTCATTTTTACTTATTATTGTGTAATTTAGGTGTAAGCATTCCGAGTGTCTACAAGATTCTTCGGGAGTATACAGAGGTACACGAACTTCATTCACCTAAAAAATATTATCGACCACGAGCAATTTTGGACAATATTGATTCCGGAACTAAAAGTATTCTTCGACGTTTGCTTCATTCTTTCTTTGAAAGAAATGAACCACCTACCCTGAGTAAAGTTTTGGCAGTGTTACACGAAGACTTACCCCATTTGAAACGAACTACTTTATGGAAATTAATAAAAGAAATAGGTTTTCGGTCAGTAAACCTTTTTTCTTTACGTGTATGTATATTATGTACTTGTCATTGTAGATTCGAAAAGAGGTCACGCAATAGTGTTCTTAAGGAAAACGACGAAATATTTACTTGGAGGCGTCGGTTCTTGCGTGAAATTAGAAAATATCGTGAAGAAGGTAGGAAGTTGTATTTCCTAGATGAAACTTGGGTGAATGCTGGGCATACTGTAAGCAAAGTATGGAAGGACACCACAATCTCACTCCAAGACAGGCATTTATCAACGGGCTATCAACTGGATTGAAAGATCCATCGGGCAAAGGAAATCGCCGTATTGTTCTCCATATAGGGTCCGAGGATGGCTTCGTCGAGGAAGGTTTGCAGTGTTTTGAATCGAAGAAAACAGGGGATTATCACGAAGAAATGACCAGTGAAGTTTTTGAAAAGTGGTTTATGGAAATCGTTACACATCTTGATGAACAATCTGTGTTTATAATGGACAACGCTTCATATCATAGCAGGAAAAGTGAAAAAATACCAAACACCAGTACGAAAAAAGCTGATATACAAACTCGGTTAACAAGCAAATCGATACCTTACGAAGAAGATATGGTAAGAGCTGAACTTCTACAGCTTGTGAAACGGGCAGCTGTTACACCAAAATATGTAGTTGATGAAATTGCAAAGGAACACAATCGTATCGTGCTGCGATTGCCTCCATATCACTGCGAATTGAATCCAATTGAACTGATATGGGCGCAAATAAAAGGTGAAGTGGCCAGAAACAACACCACATTTAAAATGAAAGACCTTCATCCACTATTTCAACAAGCAGTGAAACATGTTACTGCTGAAAATTGGAAGAACGCAATTCGCCACGCTCAAAGTGAAGAGGAAAAAATGTGGCAAATTGACATTTTAATGGACATCGTAGTGGAGCCATTAGTAATTCATGTGGGAGATGACTCGACATCACCGGAGTCCGAATCCGAGTGAAGCGATACAGGATTTAAATTGTTATGTACCTTTGTTTATATTCAAGTGCACTTGTAATTTCAAAACTTTGTGCTGCTGTAATAATACTTTTTTGTACTTTTCTCAATATAAACAGTGTTTTTATGTTGCATATTTACATGTATTTAACAGTTTGCAGGTTTTACTATTTTTGCCACGAGTTATGTTCAGAGAGATAGCGCCATAAGTAGTTTTGAGCAAGTGACATTTCAATTGGATTTTTGAAATTTTCCGCTTTTTATAATTTTGTGGTTGTAAAACTGGTTGCTGCTTACATTGGCCCAAATTTTGTAGGAGTGGCTTAACTATTT